ACAAGAAATTAACAGTTTTTGTTTTGTTTTTTATTTCAAAGAACAGGTTTTTCTGATCGTGATGACACTCATAGACTCCATTGGAAAACCTGTGTGACAGGGTGACAATGCAGGAGAGCAATTGCGACACAGAGATAGAGCGTTGTCATCCCATAACAGGAAGTGCCTGAGCAATCATTTTCATGGCGGGATCACCAGGTACCATTTTAATAAAAGCTGCAGATTTAAAAAGATTGAAAATGACTTTTGAAATGACATTAACCTGATTGAGATTAGATGAGATTCAAGAGACTGGGATTACATCTACTCTAATCAGCCAGCACTATGTGAATTTTGGCTTTGCCTCCGGTATAATAACAGTGGACCCTTTATGCCAAATAAAAATGTTAGCAATCATTGTGCCTGTGTGCGCTTTTTCAGGTACATACTTGTTACTTCACAAAAGTTGGTCTTTGTTGTGTTAGAAGACAAATACTCTTTCTGTAAAATTCTGTCTGAGGAAGGTGTGACTGTTGTTTCTTATAAAGTTGTAAACAGGGGCGTAACCAGTGGTGTATTTTGCTTTTGTGCTGCCCTAGGCAACACAAAAACTGGGCGCCCCCCCCCCCCCCACACACACACACACACACACACAAAATTTTGGGCCACCCCCACATGAGAGAGAGAAAAAAAAAAAAAAGAGAGAGAGAGAAAAAAAAGAAAGAAAAGAAAGAGAGAAAAAAAAAGGAAAGAAAGGAGAGAGAGAGAGAAAGAGAGAGAGAAAAAAGAAAGAAAGAGAAGAGAGAAAAAAAAAGAAAAAAAAGAAAGAAAGAGAGAGAAAAAGAAAAAGAGAGAGAGAGAAAAAGAAAAGAAAGAAAAGAAAGAGAGAAAGAAAAAAGAAAGAAAGAAAGAGAGAGAGAGAGAAAAAAGAAAAGAAGAGAGAGAGAAAAAAAGAGAAAAGAAAGAGAGAGAGAAAAAAAGAGAATAGAAAGAGAGAGAGAAAAAAAAGAGAAAGAAAGAAAGAGAAGAAGTAGAGAGAGAAATGAAAGTGTCAATGAGTCGAGAGAGAGAGAGAAAAAAGAAAAGAGAAAGAGAGAGAAAGAAAAAGAGAGAGAAAGAAAGAGAGAGAGAAAAAAGAGAACAGAAAGAGAGAGAGAAAAAAGAAAGAGAGAAAGAAAGAAAGAGAGAGAGAGAGAGAAAGAAAGAAGAGAGAAAGAAAGAAAAGAAGAAAGAAAGAAAGAAAGAGAGAAAAAAAAAAGGAAGAAAGAAAGAGAGATCAGTAATTTAATTAGTTTAATGAATGTTAGTGTCAATGTCAGTCGGTGTCAGTTAGTGACTTAGAACCAGTAGAACTGGCTCTGGATCACATGAAAGAAAGAAAAAAAGATGGAAAGAGAGAAAGAAAGAGAGGAGAGACGAGAGGGAGAGAGAGGGAGAGAGAAAAAAAGTGAAAGAAAGAAAGAAAGAAAGAGAGAAAGAAAGAGGGAGAACGATAGGAGAGAAAGAGAAAGAAAGTGAGAGAGAAAAAGAAAGAAAGAAAGAGAGAGAGAAAAAAAAGGAAGGAAGAAAGAAAGAGAAACGACTGCCAGGTAGTGTGGGCGAGGCAGACACAGGAGGAGAGAGTGGGGGGAGGAGGGGCAGAACCTACTTTTTCTCTTTTCTCCAGTCTTTGGTGGTGGGGGAACTGTCAGCACTGGCTCTGGGCTGTAGGGAGAGGTACTCTTTCAGCTCAGAGCCCCAGGGAACAGTCTATCCTGACAGATCCCCTGCAGCAGCCACAGGGAGGGGGGAACCCGACAGTGCTACGGGGGATGGGGAATGGCCGCTGGGGGTGTACACAGGAGCCCAGGGCAGCAGAAGAAGGATAGGAGGAGGACAGCACATAGAGGAACCAGTCCAACCATTTCTTGCTGAAGCCTGCAGGAGGGAAAGGAGGAGAAGCGGGCATTCAGTGGCTGCAGGAGAGAAATACACAGACTGGTTCCTCTATGTGCCACCCAGCTGCCCCTCCTATCCAGGCACCCCTGATCCACCTGGCAAATGCCTGGAGTGCCCTATAGCCAGTCCGGGCCTGAACGCAGCTGAGCTATATAGTAAATTTTGCCAGTGCAGGACAGAGGCGCAACGGTTATTATCTGTAACTGATTCTGAAATTTCATAAATAATTTGAGGAAATAAAATGTTGGAGGATTTTCTACAATGCCTGTGTGCTCTCTATTTAATTTTTGCTATTATTCCACAGGTACCATTTCATTTTGACTTTGCCGCTAGTCTTGTTTTCACCCACTGAGACATTTTCTCTGGTTTCACCCGGCCTACAGAGAATACAGCAGCTTGATGTCATGAGCGCGATGGTGGTCGACAATCACTGGGACATGTGTCATGAGATCATTATTTTCTCGCCAGTTGGAGTTGAATGAAAAGCCCCCTCGTAACTCGGTGTTCTGTCGCCTCACAAAGAACCTGTTAAAGAATAATTACAGTCATGGCGGGAGGTTTTGGGCCATCAGCTGAGATGGACACAAAGGCCTTTTGCAGAAGTGCCACCCAGGAGCTAAGTGTCTGAAGCCGTTGAGGCATTTTATCTACATTGAGCAGAGTTCTCATTGTTTGGGGAGGAGGACAATGCTGCGCAGGGCTGCTCGGGAAGTAAAGGTCGCCATCCATTTCCCTGGGCACACGATGCCCAGACAGCACCCCACAGGCCCCAAATCCCCTAAAATGTTTTATTAAATCTTTTATTTCCAAGTCATCCCAGTTCTTTGCGTTGGCCCTTCTGGTATGTGCTTTTAAAGCTGAACTACAGAAGGATAGCTAAACACACTGATGAAAAGCATGTAAGGGATTTGTTTGATCTGCTAAAGGAGTTGTATTTCTGTCCATCCAGTCCTAGGAATTACTCAGCTCTGCCACACTGCACAGCCCTGGCAGGGTAGTAGACCTGATTTCTCTGACATTCACAAAGGACAGAGCCAGGTCTTAAAGCAGAGCTCCACCCAAAAGGGGAAGTTCCGCTCCGCTCCCCAGATTGGCACCTTTGGGGAGCAGAGGGGGGGGGGAGCGGGTTCCCAAAATTGACAGTACCCGCTCCCACTTCCGCTGTGATTACCTCGTCCTCCCTCCCCTCCGGGACCATTCAGAAAGCGCAGCGCTACTCGCGCATGTGCAATGTGCTCCCAGCTGTGAAGCCGCAAGCTGTCACACTAAAGATGACGGCGCCGGGAACACACCGGTGAAACGGGCAGCAGAGGGGGGGGGGGGCACCATGGGCTCAAGGACAGGTAAGTGTCCGTTTTTTTAAAAGTCAGCAGCTATAGTTTTTGTTGTTGCTGACTTTTATTTTTTTTTTATTTTCACTGGAGATCCACTTTAAGATCTTAAATGATGGGTTATAGTGCCACCCAGGGGCGGACTGACCATTTGGAAACTCAGCACTGCCCGAGGGCCCGGGGTCAGTAGGGGGCCCCATGAGATGCCCCTGGTACCTTTTTCATAGGCTTTTTTGAGTTTGGGCAAGGACACAGGGGCCCCATGATCCCCTATTGCCTGGGGGCCCCATGAGTTGTCAGTCCGCCCCTGGTGCCACCTGAAGTAATAGTCTGTACCTCTAGGTACACACACACAAAAAAAAAAACAAAAAAAAAAAACACACTGCTGGTGGCCAAACCCTACATAGTTACATAATTAGTCTGGCTGAAAAAAGACAAAAGTCCATCCAGTTCAACCATAAAAAAAAGTTATAATCCTACACCCACAGTTGTTCCAGAGGAAGGTAAAAAAAACCCAGCAAAGCACGATCCAATTTGCTCCTGCAGGGGAAAAAATTCCTTCCTGATCCCCCGAGAGGCAATCGGATATTCCCTGGATCAACTTTACCTATAAATGTTATATCCAGTTATATTCTGTGTATCCAAGAAAGAATCCAGGACTTTCCTACAGCAATCCACTGAGCTGGCCACAACCAACTCTTGAGGGAGTCTATTCCACATTTTCACAGCTCTTACTGTGAAGAAACCTTTAATCCTCTTTTCCTCCAGACGTAAAGAGCGCCCCCTTGTCCTCTGTGATGACCTTGGACCAATGTAACTCTGCATATACTCTGCAGGATCCCTCTGAAACAGTCATCCTCAACAATTTTCTGTTTTCTAGGGTTCCTCCAGAAATACCTAGGGGTTCCTTGAGCTGTGGCTGACTGACATCCTATATAATGGTGTCTGCATAGTTCCAGGTCTGGCAGAGCCAGATCCATGACTGTAAGGCTGATATTCTGACCAACAATGTAAGGGGCATTCTTTCCCCTGACCACCACTAATGGAAAGGACATATTCCCAATGGCCTCTTAGCAGGGGTTTCCTGAGGCCTGAAAATTCTTACAAGGGTTCCTGTGGGGTAAAAAGGTTGAGAAAGGCTGCTCTAGAAGCTCGAAAGAGGCTGGCAGTGAAGTCACACTCTCCACCTCATCCAATAAGAGAACACTTTGCATTCACTGAGAAAATGCAAAGAATTCTCTGGATTGCACCCGTGCCGAGTGGCCAACCTTCTGTGTTCCGAATTCAGCAGGGCAGCCACTCAACATCTAGAAGCTAGTGGAGATCACTGAAGTAACAGTGTAGTAGCGGTATTTTCCTACAGTGATTTCCAGCTTCTATGGCAGCCATTCTCAACCAGGGTTCCATTGCACCCTAGGCTTCCTCCAGAGGTTGCTAGGGGTTCTTTGAGCTGTGGCCAACTGACCTCCCATCTGCTGCATAGATCCAGGTCCATCACCACGTGGCAAGGACAATAGTAAGACACCAATGATCTTTAACCACCTCCCATAGTAATATGACGGGCACAAGGTGGTTCTCTCATTCTGGGAGGACGTCATATGACGTCCTTCCATTCTCACTGCGCATGCGTGGCTCAGGGAGCCTGCAGCGCGGTGATCGGCGATGCGCTGTGTCCCTCGGACACAGCGGATCACCGATCACAGAAAGAGTCGAAGATGTCGGCTCGGTCATGTGATCAGCTGTGTCCAATCACAGCTGATCACATGTAAACAGGGAAATCCCGGTTATCTGCATTTCTCTCCTCTCGAGCTGTCACGCTGACAGAGGAGAGGAGAGCCGGTAATCGGCTTTCAGCAGAGGGGACATGTACACTGATCATCAGGGCACTGATGATCAGTGTAGCCCCAGCAGTGCCACCTGTCAGTGTCCCCATCAGTGCCTTGTGCCAGTGCTCATCAGTGCCTCGTGCCAGTGCCCATCAGTGCCACATCAATGACACATATCAGTGGCTACCAGTGCACATCAATGCCACATATCAGTGCCCATCTGAGCTGCCTTTCAGTGTTACCCATCAGTGCCAGTCAGTGCCACCTATCAATGCCAATCAGTGCCACCTATCAGTGCTGCCAATCAGTGCTCGATAGTGCCGCCTAACAGTTCCAGTCAGTCCCGCCTATCAGTGCCAGTCAGTGCCAGCCAGTGCCGCCTATCAGTGCCATGTATCAGTGCTGCCTTTCAGTGCCCATCAGTGATGCCTGTTAATGCCCATCAGTGCACCTACCAGTGCCTCCTCATCAGTGCCCATCAGTGTCACCTATCAGTGTCCATCAGTGCAGCCTATCAGTGCCCATCACTGAAGCCTCATTCGCGCACATCAGTGAAGGAGAACAATCACTTAATTACAAAATTTTACAACAAAAACTAAGAAAAAACGTTTTTTTTTCAAAATTTTCAGTGGTTTTTTTGTTTGTTCAAGAAAAAATAAAAATCCCAGAGGTGATTAAATACCATCAAAAATAAAGCTCTATGTGTCACAAAAAAATTATAAAAATTTTATATGGGTACAGTGTTGCATGACCGCGCAATTGTCAAAGTGCGACAGCGCTGAAAGCTGGAAATTGGCCTGGACAGGAAGGGGATATAAGTGCCCTGTAGGCTTGTGGTTAAAACTGTCTATAGGGGTGGCATTCTAACAACCACACTGGGAGGGGGGTGGGGGGGTAATTCTTCCCACTGACCATCAATGCAAGCGGTATTTTACTAATGAACCCCAACAGATCAATCTTAGCCGGGGTTCCCTGAGACATGCAAATTATTTTACGGGTTTCTTTGGGATAAAAGGGTTGAGAAAGGCTGTTCTAGAAAGATCCTTCAGGTATGGTATATGCATAGCTACATTGATCCAAGCTGGAACAATGTAACCATGTAAACATATTTCCATACCTGGAATTCTTCTTTAATTTTTATCAACAAAGTATCTATTTGTATACAAAATATGAGCAAAAATTGGAAACAGTGTTCTTTGTTAAATCAGGTTGTTGATTCTGTGTTTGTAGTTTCAACTGTCAAATATTTCGCATCTTTGATCAAAGACGTCTGATAAAAAAAATTGGCACAATTTTTGTCTTAGTACAATTTTGTTTTCTAATGGGAGGGGTTATTTTGGAATTTAGAGTCCCAGCTGATTGCCACAAGGCATGTTTTATAACTTTACCACAAGGGGGGGGGGGGGGGTTGTAAAGAAATGGAAGGACCGACAATTTGTGTAAGGTTGAAAATTTCAGCTCGAGAATTTTTTTAAGACAGCCATTAGGAACGAGCGCCCCTCCCTCTTGGTAGATCTTCTGCCAGGCGGTGTGCTGAACGTCTTCAGATCGAGACGTACTTCTATCAGATGCTAATTGAACCTGTAGGACAATCACTACTTTTACCTGGGGATGGTGTGCAACAAGCAGTTGCTTTAGTTCCAAATGTTTTGCCCATTGACGGTGGAACTCCGGCTAAAATAAAAAGTATTATATGATATGGTCTTTCACTATCATTAACACAGCAGTTTTAGGTTTTCTAAGCTAAAAACATAGTTTTATATTCTGTTGATTGTGCCAGTAGACCTTTAGACTTTCGACTTCCTATCAGAGAATGGCAACATTTTCTTCTGCAGTGATATCAGCCAGCAGTGTTGTCAGAGTCCCCATCAGAGCCCCATTTACCTCAGGGTCCCAATTACATCAAAGTCTCTATCAGAGTGCCCCTTTTAAATTAGAGATCCCATCAAAGACCTCAACAGAGCTTACCTTACATCAGGGGCCCCTTCAGAGCAGGGCTGTCTTAATGCATGGGCCCCCCATGGATGATAATATTCCATGACATCATATTTTCTGGGACAGTCACGCTTTTTACTAAGCTGTCCCATGATGGTCTGGGCAGAGTCCCAGAAGTGCTGTATTTGTGCCCTCCTGATCCCAGTATTGTACCCTCCTGATCCCAGTATTGTGCCCTCCTGACTCCCCCTGTACTGTGCCCTCCTGATCCCAGTATGGTGCCCTCCTGAATCTCCCTGTACTGTGCTCTCCTGATCCCAGTATTGTGCCCTCCTGTCTCCCCCTGTGCTGTGCCCTCCTGATCCCAGTATTGTGCCCTCCTGACTCTGTACTGTGCCTTCCTGATCCCAGTATTGTGCCCTTCCTGATCCCCCTGTATTGTGCCTTCCCTGATCCCAGTATTGTGCCCTCCTGATCCCAGTATTGTGCCTTCCTGATCCCAGTATTGTGCCCTCCTGACTCCCCCTGTACTGTGCCCTCCTGATCCCAGTATTGTGCCTCCTGACTCCCCCTGTACTGTGCCCTCCTGATCCCAGTATGTGCCCTCCTGACTGCCCCTGTATTGTGCTCTCCTGACCAGTCCCCTTGTACTGTGCCCTCCTGATTGCCCCTGTATTGTGCCCTCCGGATCCCCCTGTACTGTGCCCTCCTGATCCCAGTAGTGTTCCTCTTGACTCCCCCTGTACTGCTGCCCTCCTGATCCCAGTATTGTTCCTCTTGACTCCCCTGTACTGTGACCTCCTGATCCCAGTATTGTGCCTCTGATCCCCCCTGTATTGTGCCCTCCTGACTCCCCCTGTACTGTGACCTCCCTGATCCCAGTATTGTGCCTCCTGACTCCCCCTGTATTGTGCCCTCCTGATTCCAGTATTGTGCCCTCCTGATTCCAGTATTGTGCCTTCCTGACTCCTCCTGTATTGTGCCCTCCTGATCCCTGTATTGTGCTCTCCTGACTCCCCCTGTACTGTGCCCTCCTGATCCCAGTATTGTGCCCTCCTGACTCCCCTGTACTGTGCCCTCCTGATCCCAGTATTGTGCCCTCCTGACTCTCCCTGTACTGTGCCCTCCTGATCCCTGTACTGTGCCTCCTGATCCCCCTGTATTGTGCCCTCCTGATCCCTGTATTGTGCCCTCCTGATCCCAGTATTGTGCCTTCCTGTCTCCTCCTGTATTGTGCCCTCCTGATCCCTGTATTGTGCCTCCTGACTCTCCCTGTACTGTGCCCTCCTGATCCCAGTATTGTGCCCTCCTGATAGTTAGGCGTGTACCTTTTAACGTAATAAATATTGAAAAGCTCGATTTAAACAGTAAAAAGTGTTTCCTTTCCTATATTTGGGTATAAAATTACTCCAACACAACTTAGCAATTCTGCAGATAAGGAGATAATGGTCTCCCCAAATGAAATGAAATACTGAAAACTGTTCTAGGTGTATTGGCAATTCTCTTTAAATTTGTGCTACACTGCCCCCTGCTGACATGGACGGGGTAATGTGTGAGGAACGTAAGGATGTCCCATCATTTGATGGAAATTAAATTGATCGACCTACAGAGGACTGAATTCAAAGACACCCAGAAAATCAAAGTGAAAAAATGATGCAGCAGGTGAGTCCATTTTGCTGAAAACTCAGAATGGTCCTCAGTAGTTTGTATGGCCCCCACGTGCTTGTATGCATGCCTGACAACATCGGGGGAGGCTCCTAATGAGACCACGGATGGTGTCCTGGGGGATTTCCTCCCAGATCTGGACCAGGGCATCACTGAGCACCTACATCGAATTATTTATTATTATTATTTAATTTAATGTCATATATTTTAGTACCATGTGCAGTTCTTTGGGGGATATTAAGAGTTACTAATCTTAATATTTATCCGCATTCAGATTGGACGTTATTTCATTATAAGCAGGTTTAGACATTAACGGCGGTGTGTTGAGTTATTTTGAGGGGACAGCAAATTTACATGTTATACAAGCTGTACACTGACTACGTCACATTGTAGCAAAGTGTCATTTCTTCAGTGTTGTCACATGAAAAGAGAGAATCCAATATTGACACAAATGTGAGGGGGGACTCACTTCTGGGAGATACTGTACATACGCGTGTGTCATGTTCATACATATTTCACGATGACCCAATTCTAGCTGCAATTCGACATTTTCCAGCTAGTTACACTGTCATGACCTCCTGGAAAACACCGGCTTATAACAGATGTTGTATATTTATGTGGACCAGTCTGCCAACTGTCAGGACTTCCTTCCTTCTGCTGCGTTCTGTTAATGAGAAAAAGGCGTATTTGGACATTTTTGTTGCGTCTCTGGATGCAGGAGTTAGATATTGCCAACAGGGGCGGACTGACCATTTGGAAACTGCCCAAGGGCCCGGGGTCAGTAGGGGCCCCATGAGATGCCCCTGGTACCTTTTTCATAGGCTTTTTTGAGTTTGGGCAAGGACACAGGGGCCCCATGATCCTCTATTGCCTGGGGGCCCCATGAGTTGTCAGTCCGCCCCTGATTGCCAAGCAACAACTGCCCTGCAAAGCAGATACAGTAGATCCCCTGTGACACTCAAGGCCGGGGAGCCATTGTTTCTCTCATTCTGTCTTGGGACATTTTTCATAGATTGTCAGTATCAGAACTAAAGCCAAACTCCAGGCAGACAGATTAAAGGGGAACTCAACTGTATCTGAGCACCACAAACTGAAAACGCTATTTAATTCATTTATATTATGCAATGCAAACTCCCCCATCCATCCATGTTTTATTTTGTTGAGAAATCGATTTAAAAAAAACAATCCACAATCCCCCATCCCCCACCCAGCATTTCTAGCCATGGCCATCTTGAGTGAGGACAGATGATTCGTGTAGCATTTAGTTTCTGGAATCCATCTGCCCTTAGCTCAGGCATGCAGGCAGGAGGGTCTGCTTAGCTGAGAAAGCCAGTCCTCCCATGAAGACACCTTGGATATATGACATAATTTTGGCCCAGGACAGAAACCAGGAAGCAACTGAACAAATGTAAAAGAAGAGTTTAAAAACAATGAAATATAATCGACAGTAACTTCCCAGGGGCGGACTGACCATTTGGAAATTTGGGCACTGCCCGAGGGCCCGGGGTCAGGTCGGAGTCAGGTCCAGGCAGAAGTCTCAGCAAGTGGCAAGCAAGAGAGTAGTCGGGTCCAGGCAGAAGTCTCAGCAAGTGGCAAGCAAGAGAGTAGTCAGGTCCAGGCGAATTCGCAGCAAGTGGCAAGCAAGAGAGTAGTCGGGTCCAGGCAGAATTCGCAGCAAGTGGCAAGCAAGAGAGTAGTCGGGTGCAGGCAGAAGTCTCAGCAAGTGGCAAGC